TTGCACACAGCTGACAGCGCAGCGGGAGTCTTGACTGCGATGCTGCTCCTCTGTCCCAACTGCTGGGCCCTTCTGCCCCTTCCCGGGGTCTCCCAGGAGGTGCCCGAGACTGCAGCAGGTGTGCGGGCTCCCTGGCCCTGCTTGGACACCTGCGTGGCCGGGCATTTCGCCCAGGGGCTGGGGCCGGGAGCTGATCTGGAACGTATTCCCCCATCACTGCACACTGGTGTACAGTGGGCCTTTCCGGAACACTCTGGGCATGCTGTCCTCCCGAGGAGGCGGCAGGGCCTACGTAGATAGAGCAGGCAGGTCTGGGGGCTCTGGGGTGCCCCTCTCCCGACCCTGTAACAGAACTAAAGGTGTCTGCTTCCCTGCTGACTTCAGATGTCTTCCAGGTAGGGACCGTCAAATTCAGGCAGAAAGGAGTCAAAGAAGCCAGAGGTACAACAGGCCCAAGAGCCAGAGAACACGGTGACACAGGGCACCGACCCAAGCAGCGCACGAGGCCACTCCAGCTCCAGGTCCGTGGGAACTCTGTCAGGGAAATGACCCCGCCTGCTAACACCTGTGATGACCCTTAACCCTAGTAGGCCCGCAGATGCCGAGAGGCTCCAGAGTAACAGGCTACACCACCGCCAACACCTGAGGGCCATCTGCCCACAAGGCGCTTCAGCTGTGGCTGGGGAAGGAGAGGAAGGCCCCACCGCGTAGGGGAGAGGACTCAGGAGCCAAAGGACCGACGGGCTCCGAGCGAGACAAGAGCCAGGGCCTGACGGAAGGCACGACCATAGCACGTGCCCGGTCAGGGCCCGTCACCCCACAGACTCAGCAGCGCGTGACCCTGCGGACCTCCTTCCTCGGCAGGGTGCCCTGCAGAGGCGCCGCAGCCAGTGCCGGCCGGCCTCCACGCAGGCCACGGCCCGGCTTCCCTGAGGCAGGGGCACGGATGGGACAGGCGCTGTGCCTTGCTGGCCTGCGGACTCCCCGTTCTGCGCCCTGCAGTTAAAACGAAGTGCCCAACAGCCAGTTTCTGACTATGTGGGCAAAGACAAGAGGGGCCAGAAAGCGGGACGAAGGAACCAGGCCCCTACGGGACTAGCAGCTGCAGTCCCTGCCTCCATGGCCACGCGCCAGCCCTGCACAACGCGCAGACGCGCACAGCCACACCCCCCAACTGGCGAGTGGGCTACAAGTCGGGCAGCCCTGGCAAGGCAAGACCACCGGCACCCCTGAGAGGCTGAACCTGGGCTCTGGGCCACGCAAGGGAAGTCAGGCAGGCTTTCCGCACCACCAGCCTCTGGGGCTCTCACCTGTGGCCTCGACCATGTTAATGCAGGTGCCTGGGGCCCAGGGCGTGTGGACAGCTGGGGCGTGGGGACCGTCACGCGCGAGTGCGCGCCTGAAGACTACGCCAGGTCTACAAGGGCAGTGTCACGCAGAGCGGACGGAGGGGACAGACCGCACAGGGACGCCAGAGAAAGGGGACCGAGCCTGTGGGGGCTGCGCCGCCCAGCCCCCAGCCCATGCGCCTGCCTGAGTGCCTGCTCCAGGGAGCACTGGGGCCGCTGAAACCCAGCGAGGGCTCCGTCCGGCGCCCCGCCCCGTGCTCGAAGCCCCTGCACCGCTTACGACAGGCTGCTAGAGACGGGCGATGAGCCCACCGGGCCGGGGCCACCCCACACTCGCAAAGCCAGACTGAACGAGGAATTTCCGCAAAGGCTGCCCGGACGCGCGAGCCAGCCCCTCACAGAGAGGGCCCCACGGGGCGGGCGGCGGAGCAGGAGCCCCCAGGCTGCCAGGGCAGACCCTGGCCAGCGTCACAGTCGCCAGAGCACGGCGCGGCCATCTCCCCGCCTCACCTGGTCCAACAGGAAGCTGGCCAGGACGAGGCCTGGGAACGGGCGTGTGAGACCAGGCCACTCGCAAGGCCGCGGCGGTCCGGCAAAAGCGCCGACGAGGCACAGTGCACCCGGCCTTCTCCAGACACCTCGCACACCACAGAAGCAGCGTGGCCACATGCCACCACCTCTGTGGCAGCAAGCGACAGCGGAGGCTGTCAGCGTGCGCCGCTCGGGGTTGAGCCACCCGTGCCGGGGCAAAGTGCCCCACGCCGTCAGCCACTCGCCCAGCGGCCAGCCAGAGCCCCGCGACCCCGAAAGCCACACACACAGCGAGTTTCCCGAGAACCGTCCCCTGCTCACACAGGAGGCCGAGCGCAGGCGCCCGCCGGCAGGCAGTCAGCGCGTGCCCGGCAGAGCGGCCTCACCCGGCGCGGGGGGAGCGCGGCGCTGCCTCCTGTGTGGGGAAGGCCTGCCGCCCGCACCTCCCCACACTCCTTGGGAGTCGCCGTCCCCACGTCACCCCAGGGACGCGGGGGGCGTGAAGAGCACGAGCACACGTCACAGGCGTCCCCGACAGCCAGTAAGGGGGGCCGACTTCGGGCAGAACAGGATGGGGGCCCCTCTGAGGAAAACCCTACTTCATTTATATTTTCATCCTGCCCACATCTGACAGACAGCTCTAGGGCCACAGAATTCCGCAGGTGGGCAAACTCCTCAACGGCGGCCGGCTTCACCATGAAGCTGCCGACAGCGAGCCGGCGCCTCACACCCGAGAGCGGCCATCTCCAAAGGCAGAGACAAGCGCCGCGAGGCCGTGGCGGAAAGCGGCCCCTGCGCCGTGGTGCGCGTGTGCCCGCGCCCAGCCTCTGCGGAGAACCCAGGAGGACGCGGCGCCAGTGTAAGGCACTCTACCCGGCAGGCACACTCCTGGACGTCGCCCCAAGGCTGCCAGAGCGCTGCCCTGCAGGAGAGGCGCCCGCTGGCTCACTGCAGCGCCGCTGACACAGCAAGCCACGCAGAAGACAGATGAACGCTTGCCACCTGCAACTCCGTGGGTGCCAGGCCGGGGACCACACTTGGCCTAATGAGCCAGAAGGAGAAAGTGCAGGGGGCCGTAATCGCTTAGTGTGTGAGGAGAAGCAAAACCAAAGTCAGATAAAAGCTGACCAGTAACAAACCCCAGCATCGGACTGGAGAACGAGGGTGGGCACGGTGGCCCAAGGCTGAGGACTTGCCTGGGTCGGTGCGGGCGACGCGCACACCTGAAGGATGTGACCCTGCACCACAAAGGACACGGGGCGCCGAGGACATTCTTGCCCCGGCTGACGGACGCAGCGTCGTTCACAAGCGACCCAAGTTACGTCTTGGGACTCGAAGGCCGACCTAACAACGTGAGCAGGGGTCACTTCAATCTTGTCTGTTCTCCAATATTTACTTATCCCGCTCACTAGAGCTGGGGCGTGGGCCAGAGGTGGGGGCGGCTGGGGGAGGGGGCAGATGCGGTTGAGAAGACTCACGAGAGACAGTGGGGAGCAGGACAGGCAGATCTACCGAAATACACGCTGAGGGGAGCAGCAGGTGGGCCAGGCGGGGTCTGCTGCGCCCATGGGTGATGAGGAATAGGGACAGCTCGACCGAGCTGCGACGACCCCTGAGCCACCAAGGAGGCCGTCCCTTTCTGCGCAGCTGGAAAGACCCGTTTTAAAACGTGAGGATCAGCCACCTCCACCAGGTGACACTACCCACAATTATGAGGAAAAACACCTTTTAAGATTGTATTTCTTCTGCTTAGACCCGGGGTCCAGACCAGAGGTGTGGCCTCCCCGGGAAATCAGAATGCAGCCTCCGTGGCGCTGCCAGAGCGGGGGCGGGCAAGCATGGCAGACAGACCCTATGCCAACGTCCCTCCGTACCGGGGCCAGTCTGGCCTCAGACGGCAGCACTCTGGCCTCGGGCTGCCTTCCCAGAGCCCTCTGGCTACAAGGAAAAATCCATGCGAGTCACACATCTTCACACTTCCTTCTGGATCCTCTTCCTACAACTGTGTCCCTTCCCCCTCGGATTTCCTTAGCCAATCACCTGGTAAGTGGAACAACTCGTTCTGCGAAAAGTCTGGAAATTCAAGTAAAAAGGGGAAGCTCCCTCTGGGCGGGAGCTGGAGGAGCAGGTAGACCAGCGGCCAGCTCAGCCCCCTCGGGAGGTCGTCAGTCACCACGTGCACCAGCAGACCTCGGGAAGGGACCCGCAGTCAGGCCCAGAGGTAAGGCGGCGTCAAAGGGCCGGCTCCAGAAGCAGAAACCCAGGCTCCCTCAGCTGAGTTCTTACCTCTGGAGTGAGGTCATTAAGATCATGTAAGAAAAACGTGACTCCAAGTTCGGAATGGGCAAGAGGGAGGCCTGGACCCCCGGGGAATTCTCATGCTTGGGGTGCGCGGCACACCTGCCAGGCGAGGTCCTGGGCAGCATCACCCGCACGAGCAGGACTGGCCTGGGGCAGGGGCCGGGGCTCGGCAGAGCTCACCAAGGCTGTGCCATAAGCTGCGACGGTGCCCAGAAAGTCCGTGCTCTTTCAGAGGTTTCTGAGGGGCGCCAGTAGGAACGGAGTGATGTGTCAGGGCTCCTCGTAAAGGCGGTCTACGGCGGTCTGCAAGAACACGCCGAGTGTGGCGCTGAGCACGTGCGCACACGTGCGCACACGTTTATGTGCGTCCGTGCTACGTGACGTGACTCCACACCGCCCAAATCCAGTCTTAAGAAGAACCCTGACACTTGTCAGGGACGCGCTCGCACTATCACACATCACCATGAAGAGACAAGAAGCCGTCTCTGGAAGACAGAGGACAGTCAGCGAAGCAATAGTAAAATTTCTATAAATGCACAGACATACGCATCTGAAAATGCACATGAAGATTTTGTTAAAAAGTAAAGTTGCGGCCCTCCCTGGGGGCGCAGCGGGTTAAAGCACAGCACTAAGAAGCTGAAGCCACTGCAGCATGAGCTTGATCCCCGGAGGCGACCCCCAGGCCGCGGCAGACCTCTCCTGACCCGCCCGCTGCTCCCCTCAGCAGTGTGCTGCCTTCATCCATCTGCCTGTTTGCTCCCCGCTCTGTCTCCGGTGAATCCTCTCACCAGCCCTGTACCTCTGACCTGTACCCCAGTTCTGTGTGCATAAAGAAATAAATCTTAAAAAAAAAAAAGTGAAGTTGCTGTTCGAGCGTCGGGACCGAGGCCTGAGATGCCCACTCTCCAGCCTGCATCACACAGAAAAGGGCTGGAGTCTTCTACAGGACCAGCGGCCGACAGGAGCACAGCAGAAAACCAATCTGTCGTGCTGGGTGAAAGACATCTGACATGGAAGACCCCGTTTTTCTCCTTCATTCCTCTGAAAGGCCCAGAACAGGCAAAACCACAGAGACAGAGACGATGAGTGGATGCCGGGGCTGGGCGAGGGAAAAAGCAGGGACTGCTAACAGGGCGCTTTCTTTCAAGAGTGATGAAGTGTTCTGGAAATTAGGTAATGGCAGTGGTGGCGGAACCCTGCGAGTGTACACTTTAAAGTGGTCAACTTCAGGGTCTGAGTCATAATCTCCACTTGCAGCACTCGGCAGGCCTGCCAGCTCGCCTCCCAGGAGATCCCGAGTCCGGTCCTCGCGACCACGGCACGCTGCGACCGGCCTGGACGAGCCCCCAGCGCCCGGCCACCAGCACTGGCACCCACTCACCCGGCTGAGCGGCTCTCGTCCATGCTGAACAAAGCTGCTATCCACACGGCGCACAGGTGCTTGTGTGAAGCGCACCCCCACGAACGCCCAGACGTCCGTGGCTAGCTCAGTTCTCGAAGACACTGCCCGGCTGTTTCCAGAGCAGCCAGACATCTTAGGCTCCCGCCAGAGAGATAACAGACCCAGTTCCCTCAGCGCCAGCGGATTCCAAAAACACAAGCTGGGGTCTGTTTGGTGCAAACAAGCCGGCCGCTGGCAGGTCGACTCCGAAGTCCTTCTGTGGGGCCCAGCCCCGTGAGGGCCCTGGGCCCTCTGCCCTCAGGTCCCACTCTGCTTCCTCTCCAGCACCTTTCTTCCCAGGCCCCAGCACGAAGCCGCCCTTCTGGCCCCTCCCTGGGCTGCGCTGCATTGTCCCGGGGCTGCTCCCTCAGTTCTGCTCCTGAGCGCTTGGCCCCCAACAGTGTCACACCCACCGCCCTTACTGGCTGCACGGCTCTCCATCGGGCTAGTTCCCTGCTATAACCGCAGGGCCAGGGCCGGACCTGGCACACACGGGCACCGGCCGAAGGAAGTTTCCAGGTCATGTGGTCCTCCCCAGTAGCTAGGCAGTCAGCCCCGAGCGCCCCTGTCAGGGTGACAACCTGCTGTGCACCACGCGAGGCGGCACGGGGCCTCAGGACAGAGGAGGGGTGCCGCCTCAGCCACCGCCACGCCAGGTAGAAGCTCAGATTCCCTTGCCATGGCCATCGCTGCACTGCTACTGCCTCTGGCCGCTTTTAGGCTCTGAGGTTAAGGCTGAGTCGTTTGAGAAACATTATGTCCACAAAGCCCAAAATACTATTTAATACTATTTATTTACACAAAAAGTTTGCCAAGGTCAGACAGGGTACACCTGAAACCTACACGGTATACCAAACTGTACACTGCACATTTCTTCAACCGAAAGTAAAATGCTATTATCGTGCGTGACTACGCACACGCGTGCACGCGCACTCTGACGCTGTCCACGAAGCCAAGGACTTACACTGTTTAGGTCCCCAAATGACCTGCGGTCCAAAGCAATCCCTAGCAGAATCCCGTCTGGCTTTGCTGTGGAAAAGGTACTCTGGGGCCCTCCAGGGTAGCGCAAGGGGTTGAAGCGCAGCGCTACGAAACTCTCCACAGCCGCTGCAGTACGAGTTCGATCCCCGGCCAAGGAGTGACCCTCGGGATGCAGCAGGCTCTCCTGTCTCCCCACTGCCCCCCTCAGCAGGGTATTTCAGTCCATCTGCCTGTTCTGCTTCCACCAGCCCTGCACCTCTGGCCTGCACCCCAGTTCGGGATGCACAAATAAATAAATCTATTAGGAAAAGAATTTAAAACAACAAATAAGCGAAAGCCAGGGGAGAGTGAGAACAGGGCTACAAGCTGTCCGCGAGAGCGGCTGCTGGCCCAGCTTGGCTCCCAGCTGGCTCAGACGGACGGCGTCCCGCAGCCACTCTCCCAGCTGGCTCTTCTGTTGCCTGAACCAAATGCAACCCTAGCAGGTGCCGTCAGACGTCGCTGAGTGGTCGTGGCTGGCAGAGGCAACGAGCCCTGGCAGCTCTGCCTCCAAAACTCAGCCACTGCTTCCTGCCACTGCTGCTGGCAGCTCAGGGGCACAGCGCCTCCCGGGGTCCTCGCCACGCTCCTCAGCCAGCAGCAAGCCCTGCCCGTCTGACCAGCACTCCCAGGGCTCCCCGAGCAGAACAAACGCCACGTCTCCGTTACCTTCCAAGGCGGGTCACCGTGGCCTCCTGTGGCTCCAGCCCTCACACCTGCACGAATTCAAAGGGCGCTCGACCCTGCACTCCTCTCGGTCTGGACCTGCTCCCTGGCTGCACGCGCCCCTTCCAGAGGCCCGCCTGGCTTTCCCCTGGACTCTCCCCACGCCTTTACTCATCGCTCCGTGGACCTGCTCTGGACACCTGATCTGAAATGACAACACCTTCTTCACCCCAACTGCTCCTACCCTCCTTCCTGTCCCTTCTTCCCAACATAGTGGGTTCTGCTTTTTCATCGTGTCCAGTGTCTGTGTCCCTCACTGGTGCCAGGATGACACCCGGCACGCAGCGCACGTTCAACCATCGGCTCTGTGAATCATTGGGCAGGGGAAGCAGGCGATGTGCGGGAAGTGGGCAATCGCCTCATAATCACTGCAGGGCTCTACCAAGCTCTGCCACTGCCCTGCAGGGCAACCTGGCTGACAAGGAGCCAGTGCCACTCAGAAGCCCGGCACCCTCCCTGCTGAGCAGAGAGCAGCACCCAGATACCTCAGCTGAGCCCACGCCTGCCTGTGACACTCAGCTCCGTGCAACAGAGCCAGACACACAAAGCAGGAGACACTTGTACATTGCTTCTGGCCAATCTCAGCCT